ATGTTTAAATACAGCACAGCAAGGATCTCTCTTGCCCCGATTCTGTTTCAATCATGGGCTGTCCATACTAAAAAACAGTTTACTTGATATACACAGGGTGAAGCTATAGCCAAAAACAGGCCCAGGGTCTGCTTGCTAAAAATTAACACACTAAGAGAAGCATTTTCTAGAATGGATAAATGAGAAACTTTTGGACAAATCATTTCTATATTGTCAGATTAGACTAAAAAGAACCAGATGGCCACTCATTTTGTAGAAGCTGGCCATGCAGCCAACACATCGTTTTCTCCAACTGGGAACCATTGATCCAGGGCAAAACTGAACAAGAGCTCTGGGGAACACCCACAATCAAATGATAAATAATGAGGGAAAATGCTTTAAATTCAAACTTTGATCCTTCCCAGGAAGAGATGATAGGGATGGGCCTGGTTATAAAATGAAGCTTTTAGGCAAGCAATTCTCCCCACATCCACTTCTTCCTTTGCTTCCTCAAAGTACCTTCAAAGTTTCAGCTACCATGAGATGGAAATTTTTTTTTTTTTTTTAAGACATGCAGTAACTGAAAGACGGTCAACTGGAGGCAGATGGGGGAATCATGCGAGCATAGGTTGGCTGTGGATTCCTACTAAAAGACCCAGGAAGAAGCTCAACGGACTTCTGTTAAATTCTGAGCACTCTGTTACCCAGTTTTGTATTTGAATATCTGCACCTAAGACAGCTATGGAGAGAAGGTGCTTAATAAATATTCAGTGACTCAATGAATAAATTATAAAAGGCTATAACCTTTGGAAATAAAACATACTGGATAACACAGATGCTTAATAATGGCCTGCACTATTATAGATGCTCCCCTAGCCCAGACTGACTCGTTTTCAGTCTTATGCAAATGGTTCCGTTTTAGGATTTTGGAGATTTGGTACATTAGTTTATTGGAACTGCTATAACAAATTAACACAAACTTTGTGGCTTAAAACAACAGAACTTTTTTCCCTCCCAGTTCTGGAAGCCAGAAGTCTGGAGTCAGAATCACTAGGCCGAAATCAAGATGTCTGCCTGGCAGCCCTCCCTTCAGAAGCCCTGGGGGAGAACAGATTCCCCGCCTCTCCAGGCTTCTCAGGGCTGCCAGCATTCCTCGGCTGTGGACTCATCACTCCAATCTTCCAGGCCACATCTTCAAATCCCTTTCTGTTCTGTCTTTGCATTGCCTTCGTTGTGTGGGCAAAATCTCCCTCTGCCTCCCTTTTAAAAGAACACAGGTGATTGCACTTAGATAATCCAAGGATGTGGATGAAAGGTAGAGGAAACTTAAGATAATCCAGGAATATCGATCTAAAAATCCGTAACTTGGGAGCCTGGGTGGGTCAGTCAGTTAAGCGTCTGCCTTTGGCTCAGGTCATGATCCCAGGGTCCTGGGATCGAGTCCCACGTGGGACTCCATCCCAGGGTCCTGGGATCGAGTCCCACGTGGGACTCCCTGCTCTGCGGGAAGCCTGCTTCTCCCTCTCCCGCTCCCCCTGCTTGTGTTCCCTCTCTCACTGTGTCTCTCTCTGTCAAAATAAATAAAATCTTTAAAAAATAAAAACAATCAAAATCAAAATCCTTAACTTAATCATATCTGCAAAGACCCTATCTTCAAATAAGTGAACATTTACAGGTTCCAGGGAGTGGGACCTGATATCTTTGGAGGCCATTAGTTTGCCTATCACACCAGGAAAACTCAGTATTACCAAAAGAACAGAGCAGGCAGCAGTGAATGCAAGAAGCCTCAGATTGTCTCTATCACTATGAGGATACTTGCTGCAACAGACTTCTGTTAAACATCTGTGTTATTTTGGTGTAATGCCCGCAGTTACATATACGATATTATTGACAATGCACAGTACCCCAATGCCCGCAGTTACATATATGATATTATTGACAATGCAGAGTACCCCAACCTTAGATTTTAATTTAAATTAAATTTAATTTATGGCTGCCCAATAGCCATCAGAACGGAACTGTCTATCTTGGGGGATGTCTGCATTACCCATGTTGACAGGGTCGAAGCCTCCTTTCTCCTTATCACATGGCCTTAGCTCTATCAACCACTCTTCCTTGTTGTCAAACCCAATCTGTGTGAGGAAACCCATGAGGGAATTAGCCTACATGGGTAGGGCTGGTTTGGGTAACAGGGAAATTGATGGGTCAGGCTGGGTATTGGCAGGAAAGGTGGAATTGGAGCCTTGGGTTTATTACCCATTTCCTTTACCACTCTGATGCTCTGAGCATGGTTCTTGGGTCCCTGGAACACTACCTGAAGTGGGGCTGGCCCTACACATGCTTTATTCCTGCTTTCTTGCCCACACAGCAAACCTCAAGTCTGCTGGAAAACCAGCCTACAGGCTCCTCCTGAGGCAGCCTACAGGTTCTACCTCTGGAAGGATGAGTTAAACTCACATATGGAAACATATAGATTACTGTTTGAGCAGTTTTAAAGCCACAATAATGCTTTCAACACATTTGAAAATTGTCATTTCTTACTTGTTCTCTAGTAATATCAATACATTCCATAACCTTATTAGAATGCAGAGCTGGGACTAGGGTAAGGCAAGTGAGGCACACTCCCTTTGGGTACAAAATTTGGGGAATCAAAAATCTCAGGAATCAAACATTTTTTTTTTAAAGATTTTTATTTATTTTCTGACAGAGAGGAAAAAACAGTGAGAGAGGGAACACAAGCAGGGGGAGCGGGAGAGGGAAAAGCAGGCCCCCCGCCAAGCAGGGAGCCCGATGCGGGACTCGATCCCGGGACCCTGGGATAATGACCTGAGCCGAAGGCAGGCACTTAAAGACTGAGCCACCCAGGTGCCCCTCAAACAACATTTTAAATACAGTATTATTATTTTTTTTTTAAGATTTTATTTATTTATTTTGACAGAGAGAGAGAGAGAGAGAGAGAGACAGCGACAGAGGGAACACAAGCAGGGGGAGTGGGAGAGAGAGAAGCAGGCTTTCCGCGGATCAGGGAGCCTGATGCAGGGCTCAATCCCAGGACCCTGCGTATCATGACCGGAGCCGAAGGCAGACGCTTAACGACTGAGCCACCCAGGCGCCCCCAAATCTGATGTTTAAATATGAACAAGTAGAGGGGTGCCTGGGTGGCTCAGTCAGTTACGTATTTGACTTTGGCTCGGGTCATGATCTCAGGGTCCTGGGGATAGGCCCTGCGTAGTTGGGCTCCCTGCTCAGTGGGGAGTCTGTTTGTCCCTCTCCTTCTGCCCTCCCCCCTGCACAGCTCATGCACGTGCATAGGCTGTGTCTCCCTCGCTCGCTCAAATAAATGCATAAAATCTTTTTAAAAAACTACAGGGCGCCTGGGTGGCTCAGTTGGTTAAGCGACCGCCATCGGCTCAGGTCATGATCCTGGAGTCCCGGAATCGAGTCCCGCATCGGGCTCCCTGCTCAGCGGGGAGTCTGCTTCTCCCTCTGACCCTCCCCCCTCTCATGTGCTCTCTCTCATTCTCTCTCAGTTAAATAAAATCTTTAAAAAAAATAAAAATAAAAAGATATAAAAAGTACACATAATATGTAAATTATGTAAAAATGGAAGTGTCCATTATATAGAATCATGTTTTATATTTTCTTAACAATTGTTTTATTGGTGCTGAAAACATGTTTGAAAACCAGAAGAATTGTTTTTAAAAATTAAAACTAGCAAAACATTTAACCCACCAACAAAATAAAACCTATCAACCTTACTTTTCTTTAGTAGGTCTCTGTGGTAGACAAAATAATGCCCCCCAAAAGATGCCCATGTCCTAATCCCCAGAACCTGGGAATAGGTCACCTTCCATGGCAGAAGGGACTCTGCAGATGTGATGAAGTTAAGGACCTTGGGATGGGGTGATTATCCTGGATCATCTCGGTGGGCTCAATGTAACCACAGGGTCCGTAAAAGCGGAAGAGGTGGGCAGAAACCAGAGGGAGATGAGATTACAGAAGAAAGGCACAGAGAGATGCAGCATTGCTGGCCTTGGAGGCAGAAGAAGGGGCCACGTGCCACGGAATGTGGACAGCATCCAAAAGCTAGAAAGGACAAGGAAACAGATTCTTCCCTAGAGTCTCCTGGAAGGAATGCAGCCTTGCCAATGCTTTGAATTAGCCCAGTGACACCACGTCCAACATTTGGACTTCTGAACTACAGAAATTATAAGAAAATAAAGTTATGATGTCTAAACCACTACGTTTGTGGTCATTTGTTACACAGCAAATAGAGAACTAAGACAGTCACAAAGGCTATCCAGTCAGTGTTGGCATGCTTTAGTGCACAATAAAATAAGCAGCCAGGTCACCAGGGAGGGGACTAACAACAACTCTGGCTTCGCTAAGCTCCCCCGTGCAGCCTCTGGCTACTGAAATGCCACAGAGTAAGAGAATTATCATTAACGACAGTCTCTACCCCTGAAGATTTAGATCTAACAGGTCTGGGACACAAGAAGATCTATGTTTAACTAGTGACTCTATTAGAAATTGATGGTCCCAGGGTCCTGGGGTCGAGTCCCATGTGGGGCTCCCTGCTCAGCGGGAAGCCTGCTTCTCTGTCTCCCACTCCCCCTGCTTGTATTCCCTCTCTTGTTGTCAAATAAATAAATAAAATCTTAAAAAAAAAAAAAAGAAATTGATGGTGGTTCATGCTCTGAGAGACATTCATTCCTGCCTGTAAGGAGCTTATAATTTAGGTGCTGAGTAAACATAATTCCAATACCTAATAGATAAGTAAATATGCATACTTCCAAAGACAGGTCAACAGCCAGGGACAAGTATAGAAGGCTAAAAATGGCCCAGAGCACATAAATCCTTCCATAGGCTTTGATAACAAAGCCTCATTGTAGAATTAAGCCAGAAGAGATCTCTGCCAGCAATCCTGTGTGGCCGGTGCCTGAGGGCTCTGATAAAGCAGATTCCCAGCAGTCCTTACACACCTCTTCATGGCAAAGCTCACCTGGTGAGCATGGACCTACCTGTCTCACCTGTTTCCTTCTGAGATGGTGATGTGCTGGCCCAGGGGCTGTCGTCTTCAAACTGAACCCAGTTGCTGATGGCGAAGGCCAGGTCAGGTGGGGGCTGCTCAGGGCTCCCAGGAGGGGAGGTCGCCTCAGAGATGAGGCCCAGCTTTTCAGAGGAGTCATCCTGCTCCGAGTGGGAAAGCTCCTGAGAGCCTCTTTCCGCCACGTGGTTCTCTCCGGAGGAGCTCTCAGACTGGTCTGAGTAAGATGAGAGTGCTGGGAGGTGCTCTTCGGTGTCCCCTGAAACACATACCAGACACCACCATTAATCACGTGAGGAAGGCCACCCTTCAAAACTCTCATGGAGGAAAATCCCAAGGATATGTAAGGGGTGATCACAAGACTCACCATTCCGGTGGGTGCGGGTGAAGAAACAGCCACGCCCAACTGCCTCTATGCTAAAGGAGTGTTTTCCTAATAATGTGTACGAAGGATAACCTCAGCATGCCCACATTCAGTATCCAGGCAGGCTGAGAATGGAAATCTTATTCACTGTTCTTAGCCTAGCATCTACTCCAGGCCTTGGCAGTCACAAACAACAATGCTTATAGAAGCCAAACAAATATAACTGAGTCGAACAAGAAAAGCAAAAGGCAACAGGGACTGATGGAGACTTTGAACAGGAGAGCTTCTGTCTGGACTAAACACATTCAAATTCATACTTCAAACTCCGTGCAGTCCAAACTACATGTGTCTGCAGACTGCCAGGTGCAAACTCTGTACCAACAATCAGCTGAATGAGGCCCAGCTATATGAGGCCCCTAACTTTCTAGCACTTTATTGGTCCTAAAACACATAACAGCCTTCAAAAAGTATTTTTTTTTAAAGAACTATATCCTAACGGTGATCGTGGTTACACAAATCTAGACATCCATTGAAGTTTCTCAACTGCATACCAAAAGTGGTCAATTTTACTGTACGAAAACTTTTTAAAAATCAAAGTACTAATATAAAATTTTTTTCTGCCATCATTAGCCACACAACCTAGTCTACCTGCATGTAACCAAACCCTTTAGACTAGCGCAGCCTAACAGAAATAAAAGCTGAACCACATATGTAATTTTAATTTTTTTAGTAGACACATTTAAAAAAAAGTAAAAAGAGCTGAACTACTTTTACTAATATAAATTTCAACTCCCTATGTTGAAAATTTACAATTCTAACATGTAATTAATATAAAAGTTATTAATGAAATATCTTACTTTCACTAGGTCTTTGAAATTCAGTGTGGGTATTTTATACTTAAGACACATTTCAATTCCGACTAGCTGCATTTCAAGGACTCAATAGCCCCATGGCCACCATCCTGGACATCTCTCCTGTCAACTCACACTTTCCAGGTGCTGTCAATGAAGCTGGGCTGATAGCAGTTGGCAGTGGTAGCTGCAGTAGGACAGAACCAGCCGACAAGGCTCTGCAAGTATCTCCCATCCCCTACCTTGACCTTCATCCCTGAGCACCAGGTCCCTAGAAGTCAATTTAGCCATTGTCATCGTGATCGTGGATGACAATTAACTGAACTCTTCCTACATGCCAGGCACTGTTCTAAGCACTTTACATATATTAATTCATTTAATCCTCACAGCCCCCCTGAGGAAGGTACTGTGATTACCCCTACTGCACAGATAAATGACCACACAGAGAGGTTAAAGAGACTGTCTACCCAAGGGCATATCCCTTAGCTGTGACAGAGCCAGGATCCGAGCCCAAGCAATCTGTCTCTAGAGCCTCTCACTCTTCACAGCTATGCTTTAAAAACTGAGGAAATCCAAACTGCTGTTGGGAGTAACACCCTAAAAGGCCGAGTATAAAGTAGTTTGTAAATATGAAGTTTATGCTCCTTAGAAGAAAGCACCCAATACTTTTGGTGTTTCCAGGCCCTTTTGTTTGGGACTGGAAGTTTCCTAAAAATGCTTCCCCCAGGCTCCTAAGTAGAAGAATCTGCACCTTAGGAAAGTGACAAACCGGCTCTTTTTCACATATTAAGATCCCACCCGAAGAATGATCAAGTAGAAGTCATTATAAACAGTTGTGGTTCTTTGCTGATCTTTTCACTTAAGAAATGAGAGTGCTCCTTACCCTCGGAAGGGACAGGAAACAGTGGCTCCTCATTGAAGGAGACCCACTCTGACTGGTGGGTGGCAATCACATGGTCCAAGGTCGTCATGCTAGGAAGACACTGATCATCTTCACACTGATGGCCTCAGGCAGACCCCAGAGTAATGTCTGGGGTGGGGGTATGGTAGCACAGTGGACTTGGGCCTTGGCTCTGTTGTGAGGATCTTGTAGAGGGCGGCACTCAGAACGTAGAGAGATTGGCCCCTCTTGCCTTTGGCTAATCTGCCAAGCAGAAATCTGTTTAAAAAAATAACAAAAATTAAAAAGGACCACTATCACATTATATCCAACCCACACAGGTCCAGGGTTTTCAACAATGCCCACGAAGAGGTCTGGGTGGTTTCCAACTTGTATTACTTCTCTCTGCCCTGTCTTGTCCTCATGTCTTGTACAGAAATATCTGCCTTTAGCATCAAGATCTCTGTATAGGCCTTCATATCAGACTTGTAAATAATCATGCAAATTTTAGCAATCAGATCCTAAATTTCTCCACTTATTATATTTTGGAAATACTTTTATTTATAATACAATGCCCTTGTTGTAAAACAAAAATTAAAACTTTTCAAAGTATTTTCACTTTCTTTTACTAGATGGTAAAATAAAAGCATGTTCTTTCCTATTAAATCATAGCACTTTCTTGCCTTAGGCAGGTAGCTCTTTGCAAGCCTGATTTAAATGCTTGGCAGAAACCCAACCACCTCCAGATGGTACCTCCAAGCATGGTTTACCAATCAAGAGAAATAGAAATGGAGTCATCTTGTTCATTTGGAGTAAATGGGAAGGGAATATTTGCTTTAGTAAAAAATGTGAGTTAAAGAAACATTTTCAATTTAGGCCAATTTGAATTAGTACATAAAAGTCTAGCCTTTACTCACATCACAATTATGTTGTATGTATATAGAAAGATACTTAATAGACTCATAATTCTGTTTGTACTATTAATGTCCATTTACAATTTGAACCTAGCTCTTGCCCTTATGATAAATTAATAAAATCTGAATTAATGCAAAATTAATGTGTTTCCACAAAAGAGCTATTATTTGCCCTGAACAATATCAGTTCTTATTAATGGAATACTTACAATATTCATTTTAGTCTAGAAAAATTTAACTCATAGCCTTCTGACTGGTGCATAATAAAAAAATGTTGAGGAAATTGTAGTACAGATTATTACCTGCTATAAATAATCTATGCTGGGGTTAATCAGAACAGAAATATGTAATAGTTTTTGTCTTTTTTGGTAGCTAAAACAGTTTTGCTGTACAATGCTGCCTAAAAATAACTGCTCGCATACATTTATAATTTTCAGAAACATTTTTTTATATATTTTTGAAATATTTTATTTATTTATTTGAGAGACAGAGGGAAAGGGAGAAAGAATCTGAAGACTCTGCACTGAGCACAGCCCAATGCGGGGCTTGACCCCACAACTGTGAGATCATGACCTGAGCCAAATGATACTTCATTTGATTCTATAGCCATTTTAGTTGAGTAAGGCAGATATAACTATAATTCCTTTACAGATGAAGAAATTTGGGGTGGGAGGAGTGGCTTATCCAACATTTTCATTGTTTCCAGGCCCTTGTTTGGTGCCCTAAGATGTTTCCTCCAGGCTTCTAACTGGAAGAATTCACACATCCCAGAACAGTGACAAATGGACTCTTTTTTCTCCATGATATCCACAGGGAATGATCAACTAGAGCTATAATAAGCAGGTGTGTTAGATGCACCAAGCTAGGAAGTGATCGATACAACCCTGAAACCTAGGTCTTCTGGTGCCAAAACACTCTGATCTTTGGATCACAGCCACAAAAAAAAAAAAAAAGTACCAGAATATATGCAAAAATCACCCAACTAAAGTACTTTACAAACATCAATTACAACAGAACCATAATTAAACGATCTGTGAAAACTCCCCATGTGGAAATCTGCCAGGATACCCCAGCTGTGCACAGAATGGAAAACCTGGAAATCTCTCTTCCGAGTCCCTCTCCAAAGATTCTTACCAACCATGGGACCAGACATGTGCAAACAGCCTGGAGAGTACAGAGCTCCAAAACCAGATCTCACCAGAGAACCACGCAGAGCCCAAAAACCCTAGAGCTGCCTCTGGCGGGCTTGTCCCTAAAAGCCGTCCTCAAGCCCTATCAAACATGAGTGTCGCTCAGTGTGTTTGTGGCTGCAGGGCAAGATAAGACAGCAAAAGAGAAGAGTCAAGACTCCTCCTCTCCCTCCAACAGCAGCATGTAAGCCAGGTCCAACAACAACAAAGAAGCCACAATACAAGTCCATGTGCTGACACATGCAGCATCATAGCTCAATGGGGAAAACATCCTCCCGACCCCGTGATGATGAATCCAGCAAAATTCACAGATGAGTGTGTGTGTGTGGGGGGGGGAGGTGGGAGAGAGGGGACAAGGGAAGAGGGGAAAGGGTGAGGGCAATGGGACAAATACCAAGAAATTTTAGAGCTCAAAGGTTTTAAAGACCAACAGTCTAACTCTCAAGTTCACAGATGAGCAAACTGAGGCCTAAGGAAATCAAATGTAGCAACAGAGAATGAGAGCATGGGCCTGGGATTTGAATCCTGTACAGCCTTTAAGCCTCATTTCACCCCTGTACAGCAGGAATAACAAGACTCACTTCATAATTTCAAGGCTTAAGAGAGATAATATACACGGAGTGCTTAATACTGGGAGTAATGAACCCTGTGTATCAATGATGAAGGTAACAGCAGGTGACTGCACAGAGGGCTTACTATGTGCCGGGCTCCAGTCCAAACTCCTTATGAATGCCAGCTATAGCCATCACTGCTGTTGTTGAATTACTTGCCAGAAGTCACACAGCTCATTAGTGAAGTCTTGGGACTAGAATGCAAATTTCATGGAAACCTCTCCCCGCCGTTTCTGTCATTTCCACATTCTGGCATTAGGGATTTCTCTTTTCAATCGTTTTTAGACCAGTTCTCCCAGATGTTACTTGGAGTCAAGCACTCAACCTCCTCTTTACAGATACAGACACGGTCTGGCTAAGGAACCAAGACTACTACTCAGAAAGTATGAGTGAAAGAGAAGCCCCAAAGGTTTATCTACACTTCCTTAGCTTGTCCATCCCAGATCCAGACATGGGCTGGTTACGGATAATAAGCAGCCCCAAGAAAGCCTGGTAGAACAAGTTTATTACAGGTAACCACCTATCATAATCCTGTGAAATGGATTCGGGTATTTGCCATGAAACAGCCACACCCAATGAGCCATGAGATGTGGCTGTACCAGCAGCTAAAACCACAGAGGAACCCAGTAATTGTGAGGCTAAGTTCACACTGGAATTTGGGTTCTCTATAAAAACCTCACCCCATTTTTAGAATGTGAATCATAAAGTGAGGTTTAAAATCACCACAAATGGGTAGTGACTCAGTATCAGCAGCAGGACTGACCAAGAGACACTACAAGTTTCACTGAAGTCTCTGGGTAGCCACTTCAGAGAGCAGCTTCTTTCTCAGCATCGCTTACACACTAAAATCTGGGGGTGGAAAACACGGTCGGCAGATAAGATGGGAGTCAAAGAAATGGGTCTGTTTTGTGGCAATCCTCTGATATACATTCATGAGCCCTATGTGTCTGGACATATACTAAGCACCCTTTGAGCCAGTGACCCTCAAGCAGCTTGCAATCTAGCTGGGGACACAGAAGAGCAAACACAACAAATCTGGAAATAATCCTGCTATAGGACATACCAGAAATGCTGTTTAGCCAGAGAGAGATCTGCAAGGGCTGCAACCATAAAAAAACCGAGCAGATTTCTTGGAATGGAAGGATATCCCTGGTTCTGGACCACCAGAAGGGAAGAGTAAGGATATCTAAGGTCATCCTCGGGACAGAGGATCAGCATAAGGGAAGAATAAGAGACCTTTGTGAGCTTGTTTCTAGACCAGTGAAGAGGTCAGTCTGATAAAAGCTAAGGTGTTTACTGAGGAAATGTGGGGAGAGAGGATTGGTAGACTTAACAGCTGAGGAAAAGAGTTCAGTGGGAAATGGTAAGCTGCCTAAGGTTTAAGAGGAGAGAGTGACTGAAGAAATGTGCCTACGGGAGATTAACGTTCCTCAGACTGCATTGACAAGGAGCTTAGAGATGGAAGCTATCAGTCACAACAGAACCTCAGTGTCTTGGGCAAAGTCAGGGACCAGCATCATCAGGAATGTATACTGAGCTCTCTGTGCTGGGGCTCAATTAAAATTAACTTCACCTGTTTCTTTTAACATTTTTTAAATGGGGCAACTAGAAAATTTAAAATAATACATATACAGTTTATTTCTATTGAACAGCATGGCTCTAAAATAGTCCATTCTTTATTCCATCTTTGTTTTTTGAAGGACATTTTTCAGTAGACATAGAATTAGAGGTTGACTTTTCTTTTCCTTCAGTATTTTGTCTTTTGGTCTCTATTTCTGATGAGGAGTTGGCTTTCTCTCCTTCTCTACTGATCTGTCTTCGAGTTCCTTGACTCTTTCTTCTATCATCTTTATTTCCCATTAAGTTCATTCTGTGAATTTTTCATCTCAGTTATTCCACTTTTCTATTCTAAAATTTTCATTGGATGCTTTTATAGTTTCTATTTCTCACCTGAGATGCCCTATATGTTCACTCATTATGACAATGTTTTCCTTTAGTTCTTTGAACATACTTGTAATAGCTGCATTAGAGGTTTTGTCTGCCATATCCAACATCTGGGCCATTTGGGGATTAGTTTCTATTGACTTTTTTTTTTTTTTTTGCATACCTACTAATTGTTGATGATATACTGAAGACATTCTGGATTTGATCTTCCTCTGCAGAGCTCATTTTTGCCAGAAGTCAAAATGCTTGCTTCCACTTTGTTGGATGGATTTGTGAAAAGCCAAAGATGTCTCTGAAGCTCCTCTAACAACTGCAGACCTCAACTTCCAAACTCAATCTCCATGGCAGATTTCAGCAGCACTTTGCTCTAGGCCTTGTTAGGGTGGGTTTGAAGTAGGTCTTACTCTAGAACAGCAGCAGGCTAACTATAGCCATGACCCAAGGCTGGCCCTCTGCCTTTTTTTGTAAATAAAGTCATACTGAGACAAAACCATGTGCATTCATTTACGTACTGTCTACGGCTTCTTTTGCTCTACAACAGCAAATTTGAGTAGTTATAACAGATAGTTATAGTTATAGCTGTATAGTTCACAGAACCTGAAACAATTACCATCTAACTCTTTAAAAGA